AGTCAACATCTCTTCCACTGGTGCCAATGCACTCAATGTGCATGTGTGCTGAGCACCTTGAAATTTGGATACAGGCTCCAATTCAAATCCAAGCCACCCCAATTTCAAGGGATTGTTCCTACTGTTTTGAGAGAAGAGACACAGTGCAGGTCTCTGACAGATGAGGTCTCAGTTCTTTTAGGAAATGGAGCAATAACACCTGCCCTCAGGATCAATAGGGCAGGGATTTTATTCAATTTATTTCCTGATTCCAAAGAAGATTCTGAATCCTAGGAAGTTCAATCATCATTTAAAGTGACTGCCCTTCTGTATTGCCCTTCTGCAATGCTTATGAGTACAATGTTCTCCCCGCACCTTCACCAAATGTATGGATGCATTTGCTCATTCCCCTTCGTCACAAGGGCATATATATATATATATATACACACACACACAGTGCTGCTTGAAAGTTTGTGAACCCTTTACAATTTTCTATATTTCTGCATAAATATGACCCAAAACATCAACAGATTTTCACAAAAGTCCTGAAAGTAGACATAGAGAACCCAATCAAACAAATGAGACAAAAATATTTTCTGTCATTTATTTATTGAGAAAAATTACCCAGTGTTACATTTCTGTGCGGTGCAAAAGTATGTGAATCTCTATGATTAGCTGTTAATTTGAGGGTGAAATTAGAGTCAATCTTTTCTCCATCTGGATGACTATTAGCTGTCATTGCCTGCCCTGTTTTATTTAGAGAACAGGGATCTATGAAAGGCTGATCATGTTTGCAGTAGTGAATCATGGCACAAACAAAGGAGATCTCTTGAGGACCTCAGAAAAAGAGTTGTTGTTGCTCATCAGGCTGGAAATAGGTTACAAAACCATCTCCAAAGAGTTTGGACTCCACAAATCCACAGTCAGACAGATTGGGTAGAAATGGAGGAAATTCAAGACCACAGTTACCCTCCCCAGAAGTGGTCGACCAACAAAGATCACTCCAAAAGCAAGACTTGTAATAGTCTGCGAGGTTGCAAAGGAACCCAGGGTAACTTCTAAGCAACTAAAGGCCTTTCTCACATTGGATAATGATAATGTTCATGAGTCCACCATCAGGAGAACACTGAGCAACCATGGTGTGCATGGCAGAGTTGCAAGGAGAAAGCCACTGATCTCCAAATAGAAAATCAACTGACGAGCTGCGCAAAACCATGTTCATATTCACGCAATTTTGTGCGCAGCTTGTCAGTGAACAACGGCTCTGTGTAGTTAATGCTGCTCAATGTGAAAGCCCGCAGGTGATGTAGATTTACAGTGCCTATCTGGCACTGTCTGGTGAGGCAATCCATTGCAGGGAAAACGGGATGCCTCATGGATAGGAACACACATCCTCCTGACTACCAGCAGTTAAAATTTGTCCTCTCTAGAGGACATTTGTAAACCTAAATATCTCCCACCTCCTGCATACTACTGAATTAACTCCTTTTGTACTCTAAAGGACATTTAGGAGTTTTAAATGACACCCAATTTATAGGGGTGGGGTTTTGGGAACTTCCTCTTCAAAGAAAATGGTGTCCATCACCACAAGGGCTTTTTACGGAAAGAAAAAAGGTAAGTGCTTAATCCTTTTTATTGAACAAATTTAGTCTTGAAATGCTGTTGTTATATTTTTATGAACCTCTGAAGAACACTTTAATTAATTTTCTAGCATAATGTAACAATGTTTTACCATGATAAGAGAGTGTTAAAAAAATTTCCTCTCTAGTGGACATTTGTAGATATTACCTCTATTTTGTTATCCATTTTTTTCAAATGAGCAGGAAGGGATTCACTGTCAGAAGCAGAGAGAATTTTACTGCGAATTGTTGAGGAAAACTGAGATATTGAGTTGTCTGATCAGAATGATGAAGATGCAGTGTTTGAGGAAGAGGCAGAGAACTCAGATAGCTCAGAGGATGATGTTCAGACAGGGCAAGCCGAGGATGAAATTCAGATAGGGCAAGCATAGACAGAGGAGACAGAGCGAACAGAGCCGTCCACGTCCAGTCGCCATCCACTCTGGGGCAGGACTACAATTTACACCTTGTCTTTGTATTCTAAATATATTACTATTAACATTTACATCTATATGTTATTACATACAATATTTATGTCTTAACAGTTATTTATTCTGATAACTCATTGTAAAGAGTGTTTGTATAACGGAAGCTTTTTTTCAAATGATAGTGAGAGACTAATTTTCTTTTTTATTTGATCTTTTTCTTAAGATTCAACCCCCAACTCGATAATCCTCCCATTACTCAGAGTAATGATGCCAAAACATGTCAAAACTGGATGCAAATGAATTATTTTGAACAGTACATTGATGACTCTGTGTTCAAAGAAATGGCTATGTGCACAAACCAGCGCAAAGTCCTTGTGTCTGGAGCAGCACTAAACACCACTCCTGAAGAGTTGAAGACATTCTTTGGGAGTTCTGTCTACATGGCCTGTCTAGGTTATCCAAACATTCAGATGTATTGAGCCTCGAACAGCAGAGTTCAAATAGTGTCAGAATCCATGACCAGAAATCAGTTCTACAAACTAAGAAATTCCATCAAGATCATCAATGACCTTGATGTTTCAGATGAGGACAAAAGAAGAGACCTCTTGTGGAAAGTCAGTCCCCTTCTGAACAAAGTGAAGCAAGGATGTCTAAGTCAGCCTAGAACTCAAAAACTGTCCATTGATGATCAGATGATTCCATTTACTGTTCGCTGCCCAGTTCGCCAGTATGTACCGGGCAAACCATACCCAACTGGATTGAAGGTGTTTGTCTTGGCTACACCAAGCGGTATGGTTTTGGATTTTGTGGTCTACCAATGCAAGACCACCTTCAGAGTCACGGGGCATTCGAGAACAAGCTGTCCTTCATTTGGCCGAGTCCGTTCCCAGAGGAACACACCTCTTCTTTGACCAGTTCTTTACAACTGTTGACCTTCTGGATACCCTGATGGAGAAAGGGCTGGCAGGAACTGGAACTCTCATAAAGAACCGAATTCCAAAGGAGTGCAACGTTATAGGGGATCATACCATCAAAAAGAAAGGAAGAGGGGCATCTGAAATGGTGGTCAGATGAAGTCCTCCTGAACTCGCTGTCATTAAGTGGTTTGACAACAAGCCAGTGGTCATGGCATCCTCTGCCTACGGCATTGAGCCTCAGGACACACGCAGCAGATGGTCTAAAAAAGACAAATGTTATGTCCAGGTGTCAAGACCAGTGGCAATTGCTGAGTACAACAGCAACATGGGTGGCGCGTGGACATGGCCGACCGGATGCTAAGTTTCTACAGGATGGCCAGTCGCACTCGGAAATGGACAGTGCGTGTAATTTTCCATTTTTCCATTTTCCAAAACTAAAATATGGTCACCCTATAGTAACCCTTTTTTAGTATTTAGTAAATAAAAGGGAAAACTAATAAAATGTTCAGGTGGCATGAATATTTATCTCCCTCCCAACCTTATCTGGTACACAGTTGACCCATACTGTGGCGTGTTGACTGAGATGAAATAGAACAAGGGGTTACGTAGCTAACCAAGTTATGTGAATGAAGTCAACACACTACACGGCATGGTCACTCAGGGAGCACATGTTGTTAGTCTGTAAAACAGAAAGAGCTGGGTAGTTTGCACCTGTATTTAAAGACGGAGATTGAAAGTGGGGCATGGTTATTTGATATACCATCTCCTGACAGCTCACCTTTAGAGAGGCTGACCCATACTGTGGCGTGTTGACTTCATTCACAGAACTAGGTTACCTACATAACCCCTCATTTTCAGCCAATGTTGTCCACCCAATAACTGCTAGTCTCCTATCCCCCCCCCCCCCCAACAGTTATTTATCTTTTAATTAATTTTAGTTAAAGTTTAATGTACAACAGTCTATCATGCCTGCTCAATTAATTTCAGGCATTTAAGCATGATACTTTAGATAAACAGATTTTAAAGCTCACAAGAAGCTCAGTCAAGTGTGTCCAGACCTTTGATTGGTAGTGCATGATGTTATGTTTTATGGACAGTTTGTTGTCTACCAAAGTATATGTTTGGATAATTTACTAATAATTTCATTTACCTCACATATAAATGTCACTGATATGTTGTCAAATCAGAATTGCTCTTTTCCAAGTAGTCAACATTTGAAGTGGATCAAAACCTTTCATCAAAGTTGTCCTAAAACCAAAATGCATTCTTGTCTTCTGACAACTTTGATGAACTTTTTTGATCCACTTCAAATGTTGACTACTGTAGCAGTAGCTTGGTAAACTCAGTAGATCTATGTAATAGTTTATCAAATTTAAGGATATTGATTAAAATGAAAAAGAATGATTAAGTGTCTTTAAAGACATGTTTTTTTTAAAATGGTGAATGGCAAATTAAACAGCCCAAAAAGCTTATGCCTTCAGATATATGACACAGTATTGCAGTATTGTTTGTTTCGTTAGTTTTATTGTACTGAACACTCAGAGAATGAAGTTAAACATGTCAAACATTAATGACTGTTCTTATCACTTTATTTACACTGAACAAAATTATAAACGCAACACTTTTGTTTTCGCCCCCATTTGTCATGAGCTGAACTCAAAGATCTATTTCTCTCAAATATTGTTCACAAATCTGTCTAATTCTGTTTTAGTGAGCACTTCTCCTTTGCCGAGATAATCCATCCACCTTACAGGTGTGGCATATCAAGATGCTGATTAGACAGCATGATTATTGCACAGATGTGCCTTAGCCTGGCCACAATAAAATGCTAAAATAGGTCATCTGGATCAGCCCTTTGATGAACTTGATTTTTTTCTGGTTTACCAGGGCATTGTTTTTCCAGTGTAGTCTAAGAATGCACCGTTCTGCTTCTCAGTAAGGCTGCCAATGACACACAGCATCCCCTCCACACTTTCTCTGACATCAATGGACGCCTGGTGGACAAACAAGTAATAACATGCATTTAAAATAGTGTAACATCAAAAAGAGACCATCAGTGTGCTTTTGTGATTCAGACCTCATGTTCTGTTCTGTCCTGAGAGATTCCTATATTACTGACTCTAGATTTACCTAATCTCCCCCCATGTCTGTCCTCCCCCATCCTGGGTGAATAGAAATGCAGAGGATCTCATCTGCCTTTAAAGGGTTAGTTCAGAAAGCCTTTGTTCACCCCCCGGAGCCATGTGAGACACTTTTTATGTTATTTTGGACTGAAGCAATGCAACACCCGCTGAGTGGCAATAAAAGCTTGAAAGATCAAAGACAATTTTTAATATAGCTCCGACTGGATTCGTCTGAAAGAAGAAAGTCATATACACCTAGGATGCCTTGGGGGTGAGTAAAACGCAGCCTAATTTTCATTTTTGGGTGAACTAACCCTTTAAGTCCCTTGCGGTATATATGGTCAACATGTTAAGACGAGCCTGAAAGGAAAACGGATGCATGACAAAGTTTCAAATCAGTTAAGATGGTTCTTGTTCACACTATGTAGCAGTCAGGTGATTTTGCACACAGCTCATTAGCACACTCGTTACATTCAATTTCAAATATTAAATTTTTTCCATTCAGGGACATTGAGATCCAGTCCGACCTTTTCATACAGAAACATTTCCAAATATCTGATTTTAACTGAGCTTCAAACCACATACAAATGAGAATTTCTGACGCCTATCAGAGTCTTAGGATTCTTGCATACCTTGTTGATGCTGTATGGGAAAGGTGGGAATGGCTCTTTCATTACTGGCACAATGCTCATAGAAGCTGAATCTGTGGATATGTTAATCACAGCTGCTATATTACATGACATCCCTGGTCTACCCTTGGCTTTAGCTGCTGTACGCAGGTACGGCAGGTACTCCTGATTAAAGACATTAACAGCATCTAGAGTTTCAGACGCTGCAAGAAATAAAGCCTTGTTTAAGATTAGGCTTGCTCCCAAAAGTGGTTCCATTGTCCTAATGACAAATAAAGGTCCTATCACGTTGGTGTTGAAGGTGTTTTGCATGTCCTCAACAGTGGCTGTCATCATGTTTTTTTTGTGTGGTAACATAGCAGCATTATTCACAAGCAGGTTCAAGCCATTCTTCCCCAGTAGAGAACCCACTTTTTTGGCAGACTCTTTGATACTCCATTGATCAACTACATCTAATAGTAGCAGGAAAAAGCTATATGTTATTTCAAAAATTAAGAACTGTTGTAATGTAAAATGTAGTCCAAAACAAAAGACAAATGCACATATACCAAGTTGCACAAGGGTGACAACACTTGGATGCTTTTTGGCCAGTTCTCTCAGTGCCTGAATCAGAAAGAGAATGTGAGTGATAAAAAACTGATTTCTTGAGCTGTGTATGAACCTAAGCTCCTGAATACTCACCTCAGAGTCTGGCCCATCTTGGTCATGACAAATGTTTGAGCAATGGACCTCCAGGAGTTGCTTGGCCATTTCTAAACCCAAGCCTCGGTTGGCCCCTCATTAGAGCACTGCATGTCTTTAACGCCGCCATGTTCAAAGATGATCGGTTTGGTTCTGTAAACCAACCTGCCTCTCTATATGGTGCTTTAAATATGATAAAGAGTGGACTCCACGCCCCATGTTGCACAGGTCTTTTTAGTGTTTGTAACCACGAGTTGAGAGTTGACTCTTGCGTGAATTTATCAGCACTGTTTGCTTTGAGTAATAAAACTGCTCGGATGCCTTCCAAAAGCCAGTGGCGCCCCCAGAAAATATTAACAGGGATGGCCAGAGGAAAACCTTGGGGTGGCACACCAAAAAAAAATAAAGAATTACATTTGTTTCTGGTTAATGTAACAATATTATTTTAATTAGCAATTAATTATTCTTTAAATAGTGCAGTTATTTGCCTTTAAAATAATTATACATCAGCAAATATGTGCAAACCAACTAAAAGGACAATATTTAAAAACACAAGCCATTCTTTAAAAAAAAAGAGATTCTTGTCCATTTTCTCTTCATCCTCTGCAAATTGACGTAGCATGTGTGTGAGAGATAAATTTACTAACGTTACTGCTATACTAGGTAAATAAATACTGATTTATACAAGTTGAACTTGGAAGGCAGAGGGTGAACCAACTGCAGGGTAAAGCTAAAATCTATTAAACTGGCACACCATAAACCTGTCTTTTTCATCAAGTAGATCAGTATCATGGGTGTCATGGCATAAAATATTTTTACGTACGACTAAATTTGTATTTAACGTGATCACGATTTAATGAAAACATTGTAATTTACTGATTACAGTGCTTTTATTTCCACGGGTGTTCAAACAGCTAATACAGAAAGCGAGCAAAGAACACTATCAAATAACATTATCAGTGACTTAAGCGCAAGTTTAAACACTCTCAAAACAACTCCCGCTAGAATTAATGAAGCGGTCTACACTGTGAAATTAATCTCTTACTTACATCGTACATACATCAGCCCGTTATGGCAAACCATTTTAGCTTAAAATATTCCAAGCTTTACTCGTCATAATTTCATTTTTACTAGTAACAATTCAATTAGAGAGCTCTACAATTAAATTCTTACTAGTAACAATTCAATAAGAGAGCTCTACAATTAAATTCTTACTAGTAACAATTCAATAAGAGAGCGCTAAATCTATTTTAACTAGTTATAATTACAATTAGAGAGCTCTCTAATTTAAATCGAGAGCTCTGCAATTGCATTATTACTAGTAAGAACTGAATTAGAGAGCTCTCTAATTCAGTTCTTACTAGTAACAATTATGATTATAGAGCTCTCTAATTCAATTCTTACAAGTAAGAATTGAATTAGAGAACTCAATAATTAAATTAGCGATCTCTGCAATTACATTCTTGTAAGAATTCAATTAGAGAGCTCAACAATTAAATTCTTACTAGTAAGAATTCCAATTAGAGAGCTCTTTAATGCAGTTCTTAGTAACAATTGAATTAGAGAGCTCTCAAATGCAGTTACAACGAGTAACGCTTGAAATATTTTAAGCTAAAACAGCTTGCCATAGCTCGTTGTTTATGTTGAGAGAGTCCTAGAGAGAGGGCGCACACGGAAAAATCTCCGGCATTTCAGCGGTGATCTCTGATTGGCCATTGCAGTCATAAACTCAATAGAATCATGTGTGATTGGTTATAATGTGCAACACTGTAAACCGATTAGTTTATTCCTTTTTTTTAGACGATGCAGACATTACATGCTTTTTACCAGTTTAGTGCATCTTGAACTTGTAAGAACTGGCAGGTTTGAATGTTGTACTAGGGCAGGGGTTTTCAACCTGTGGAGCACCAGCAACTGCCAAGGGGGGCGCGAGCATCAGTTAATTCAGAGACGTTCCCTTGAGACTTTATGAATATGAGTTAACAAATCTTTAGCTATCCACTAGGGGGCAATCTGACTTCCACTGCTAATCGACAGTTAGAGCAGAGTTGGCTCGAGTATCAGTGTTGCCAAGTCCGCAGTTTTACCGCTTGCCGCTTTTTGTAGTTTTGAGTAGCAATTAGGCGGGTTTTGTTGTGAAAACCTGGCAACCCTGGTCACGTTTATTGACAGTGCAAGATGATTTACGATTAGCCGTGTCAGAAATCCAACCACGGATTGGCATGTTATCTCAGAAACAGGCTCAGCCATCACATTGAATCAGGTAAACTGGTTATATGTTTCAGTATAATTACGCACGCTATACCAGGGGCGGTTCTAAACCCTTTTTAGGTGGGTTTCAGCCCCCCTATCTGTCACCTTAGCCCCCCAAAACTATCTTAACGATCAGGTGTCCTCGAGAAAGTTTTTCATTCTCACGTGTTTTAAGTCGTGCCAGTTTAAACATTAAAGTAATTTTAAGCCATTTAAGCCCAAGACATCTCAATGCGGTACTCACGCACTGTAGCGTTTCTATGCGCACCGCTCACACACCTGAAGTGCACAAACAGATAGCCTTCTCAGACCGCAGGTGAATACCAGTGGCTGTCTTGACAAGTATCCTTGTAAGCACAGTCGGTTGTTTTAAGTGAATAAACAGTAAAGAAAATATCAAATCTACATCAACATAACGGATCCGTGCATTTCTTATGTAAATAATGTTAATCAGAAAGAGCAAAAGAAAAATTGTTCGCTGCTTTAATAGCTTTAATGGATATTTGCTTTTATGTGAATGTTAATAAAGTAATTCGGTGTGACTACAGTAATACGGGGGGGGGGTTGTTGGATGTTGGGGGGGCGCGAGTGAAATTAGACCAATTTAGGGGGGCGCATGTCCTAAAAGGTTGAAAACCCCTGTACTAGGGGTGGCCAGACCACCCCTTGGTGCGCCCCTGCCAAAAGCTGTGATGTATTTGTTAATAAATAACAATTTGGTCCCTCGATATCTCTTTGCCACCGTGAAATCTTCTCAGTCTCTCCAAGTGTAAATAAATACGGCCGGGAAGTAAGAAAACACACATTCATATGTATTCTCAAATACTTCAATTTATTCACAGAAATACAGATCTTATATAGGCATGTCGAGGGGAGTTTTCACCCTCTTAACCAATGAGGATAGGGGGACATACCCATACAGGTTCAAAGCAGGAACCAAGCCTGCAACACTAATAAAAGAAATGCATTCCCAATCTTGCGGTGGTGGGGCTTTAACAATTACCCGAGGACCAACCTGTGGGGCATTTTTGTACAGACATAGCAAGACCCCTTTTTCCTTTCGGCCTTTGCCGTATAATTAGCAAATCTCCACCACATATTCGTGGCATAGGCATGGGGTGTATCATCATGCCCAAGCCACGTTTCATTACCTGTACTTATAAAAGTATGCGTACAAGTAAACAAACTTATCAGAATGACCAGGTATATCATTTGTCTCATACCCATGGTCACACAACTATCAGGAATTATGATTTTAGACTCTTGCTTCTCCTTCCGCCCCTCGACTCCTCTCTCAGCTCCTCGAACTCGATCCAGCTCCAGATACGATCACAGTGTTTGCAGCATGCGACAAATCTTGCTTAGCTGAAGACAATTTCACTAGAAAAGCAAGTAAGAAGGAAGTAAGAAAACACACATTCAAATGTATTCTCAAATACTTAAATTTATTCACACAAATACAGATCTTATATAGGCATGTCGAGGGGAGTTTTCACCCTCTTAACCAATGAGGATAGGGGGACATACCCATACAGGATGTTTTTCCCAAGAACATGTGTTTTGTATAAAATTGCCACATATACAGAAAAACATATCCATATAAGGAATAGACTTCCTGGCGACAGAGGCTGAACCCCCCTTATAAATCAGCACAAACTCCTTTACCTTGAATATTGAGTAAGAGCCATTCAAACACCATACAAGAGAGAGAGAGAACAGATAGAGGAGGGGTGATTCAGAGAAGGAGAGAGAAAGAGTGAGAAAGGAGGGGTAAGGCATTCTCAAAACAGAGAGTGTTTTCTAACAGTATTATTCCAAATCACAAATGCAATCAGGAGTAAAAGTAGAGGTTAAAGATCTGGGCTAGAAAACAACAATCCTAAAGCAAAATCTGGAAGGTATGACCCAGAAACCGATAAGCTTATTAGTAGCTCCATTATCACCACTTTGACCTTGAGCAAGGTATTATTTGTCCATAGGTTGTTCAAAAGGAACATCCCCTGAAGTAATTTAACCTTTCCAGCTGTTAAAAATCTGTTAAATAAACTGCAATGAATAAACCAAACAAAGAATTTGCTGATAAATATCAGAGCCTTGGGGATCTGGGTACCTTCACAATACTGTACTGCATCCGCACTCTAAAAAATGCTGGGTTAAATACAACCCAGTGCTGGGTAAAATAGGGACAAACCCAGCAATTGGGTTGTTTTGACCAAGCGGTTGGGTTACTACCCAGAAGGTTGGGTTAAACATTTAACCCAACCGCTGGGTCAAAACAGCCCAATTGCTTCGTTTGTCCCTATTTTACCCAGCATTTTTTAGAGTGTGCGTTGAAGAAAAATCTCTTCACTCAGTGGCCATCTTGGTACCTGGGGATTTATTTCTATACATGTAATAGGCAGACAAGTAATGGAGAGAGGTCAAAATATCCAAAAACTGTGTTCCTAAAACACACAAATTGCAAATGCAAATTCTCTACTCAATTGCCTCCACCTGCAGACAATCAGACAACTCAAAGGACTGTTTATAGGGACAAATTTACCACACATTCATTCACTCATATCATGGTGTTGCAGCCTGGAATTAAACCACTGGTTTTGTCTGGCCAGAGGAGAACGATGGAGTTTTGGTTCCTATGACACACTATTTTCCTGTTTAATACTGTAACGCTGCTTTGACACAATCTGTATTGTAAAAAGCGCTATATAAATAATCGTGACTTGACAATAACATTTCCCTGAATGTCAGCAAAACAAGATGATTGTGGATTACAGGGAGACACAGAGAGGCAAACTCACTCCTATTTGTATCAATAGAGTGGAGGTTCAAAGAGTCAAAAGCTACAAGCTCCTTGGTGACCACATCTTGGTGATTTCTTCTTTTCCTACCATACAGACCCAGTAGTCAGAGTAGCCTGTCAACATCTCTACTTCCAGTAGAGACTGAAAAAAATTGACATTGACTCAAACACACTGATTAACTTTTACTGCTGCACCACAGGGGACATCCTTATGAAAAAAAAACAAATGTAGTGAAAATGTTTAAATGCACTAAGAACAACACATGCACATTTAGCAAGATGTATGATAGTGATAACACTTGGATGCTTTCTCATCAGTTCTCTTAATAATATGCATAATTTAAACAATTCACATTTTGGTTTATCCTGGTGTTCTCTATTTGTATTAGTTATTTATAACTCACCTCAGACTTTGATCTATCTGGGTTATGCAAAAAAATATCACCTTTTTGACAAGAATCCTCCAAGAGCTGCTTAACAGTTTCTAAGCCCATGCCCTGGTTGGGTCCGGTGATCAAGATATTGCATGCTTTCACTGCTTCCATCATCTAAGTTCATCATTCTGGGTCATCCAACCTGCTCCTTAGAAGTGCTTTTTATATGAACCCAAGTGAACACCACGCACATTTTGCACTAGCGTATTGTTCTGCTTCATACTGTATGTGTAATTGATGCTTTAAACATAAATGATGTGAACAGTAAAAGAGAGTGAATTTTAAAAATCTAAGATAACATTCCATCTATTAGCTCAAATACTAATCATTTACAACTATAATAAACCTGGGTGAAACAGTGGCAGCTCATTGCAACGTTATATTCTATTTGTTAACTACACATAACTACCTAGTTATGTGTAGTTAACTACCTAGTGTTGCTAACTAGGTAAACTTGAGCCATATCGGCTTAGGTACACATAGCTTCTTTAGGTCAGTAGTTAACAACTTTAGGGTTTGACACCCAGATACGGATTGCTAAGCCACTAAAAATAAATAGAAATACTTTCTGGGCTCCACCGATAAGATAACATAAGTTACTACCAGGTACACATAGCACTTGCATTAAGTCATTCTGCAAATCAGGCTCCGGCACACACAGATAGTAAAACATGCAATTATCTTGGCTCTTTGGAGCATATCCAGTATATGTCTTGGTGGTAGACCTGTTTGTTTGGGAGGACTGTATTGTGTGGGGATATATGTGTAGCAAGTGGCCCAGTTGTAGCGACTACGCCACCCCAAAATACCGGGGAAAATAACCCAAATACGGACACGCAAATACATTCCACATGAAAAGAGCAAGAGGCGTGAATCTCTGTACAAACAATCTTTCATTAAAGCTAAAATAATTGGCTGCTATTGATTTAAAACCCACAGCCGGCACACACCACTGTCATGGGTCCAAAAAAAGAAAAAAACAGAAAACATCCAAATAATAATGCTATAGAAAGCGGAGTCTTCCTATAGAAGAAGCGGGTGAATATAACAGCACCAGGTATGCAAAAGAGAAAAATCACACCAATCAGTATCACACCCACAAGCTTCACTGCAAATAGTAACACAGCAATAGTGACACACAAAAATGGCCACCCCGAGTGAAATAATGTCCCTGGTGCTGTCAAAACCCAGCCCGCTCCCGGAAGCACTCCACTCCTACAAACAAAGGAAAAGAGAACATCACATTAAAAATAAACCACAAATTGAATATCCATATTCACAACAAAAGAAAACAATCAACTTTTGTAAAAGAATTCACAAAGTAAGAGAAAACAAAATTACAAATCACTCAAAACCAAATCAAAAACAAACAATTAAACAAACAAACATCAAGCCCACTTGGATAGTAGACATGGACGTAATTAAACTCCCAAAAGCAGCAGCGTGGCTCGAACAGTGCAGAATAGGAAACGAGCTGTATTAATTACCGCTCCCGCTCAACGCGTTAATACGATGGTGTAATGCTCATGACAACAGATCTAAGGATCATACAACAACCTCTTTAAAGGCTCCTCTTTAAAAGGTGACAGTGACAACAGCTGGCACTACGACCTGGGCTACGTTACACTGCGAGGCTACAATCAATGGGGGCCGTGAAGGCACACCGCACTGAGAGCAAACAACGCACGCACCCAGTATACCTCAGCAGCCTAACAACACACATGGAAGGCCATAACAGGAGGGAAGGGGCGGGCTTTCAACCATGAGGCACCCCAAGAGGCAGAACCAACCAACTTATATACCCTAACCGGGCAGTCGCTCATTGGCCACCTAATTAATTATGGTGACGTTTTGACCACATCACTACATATGCATATCTACTGCAGTAGCTCGTCTGTGGATGTATTTGCAGCAGCAAATCTCTTCTGACAAGACCAAAAACATTAACATTGTCATACAGTATCTATTGCAATGCCAAACTATCCAGAGAGTTGTCATGATTGAACTGAAATTTTCCACAAGCTCTTGATTTTTAGCAGGGCAAGGTCCAAAATGTGATGGGCACACTTAGGAAAGAGAACGTGGTCTTCCTAAATTCAGATACAAAGGACCACAGACACCATGTCTTTTGGGTGCCTGAAGTTCTTGAAGACATGGTGGAACAGCACATATGCAGTATTAGGCAGTATGCAGACTCTTCAGGGGAACCAGTCGAAAAGCCTTGGTGAATCTTTCAGTGGCAACTAACATGCAGGTCTGGCTACTGGATGGTGTGAGGTGGCATGGGGATTTGGTCATGGCACAATTTGGACAAGCCTGGATGACGCATTTTACCTCTTGTGACATACAGGGCCACCAGTAGTAGTCATAAATGGTTTGGCTGATGCTGGGAAGACCAGTGCACAGGGAGGAGAGGAAAGAGTCTAGAGGTGATTGGTGAAGAATTGCTGGCTTACTCCAGCTGAGCAGGATCAGCATTAAGGGCTTCTTTGATTTGCTCATCTCATGGTCCACTGAATCAGGATTGACAATCTTCTATGGCAGAAGGATAGGTTCTGGAGTAGAGTTGGAAGATTACGGGAAGTACAGCTAGGAGAGAGAGCATCTGCTTTTAAAGGGGTCATATGATGCGATTTAAATTTTTCCTTTCTCTTTGAAGTGTAACAAGCTCTTGGTGCATAAAGAAGATCTGTAAAGACTAAAGTCTCAAATCCAAAGAGATATTCTTTATAAAAGTTAAGAGTCAACCACGCCTACCTAAAACGTCTCGTCCTAACACGCCCCCACATGTCTACGTCACGATGTGGGAAGATTTGCATAACACTGCCCAAATGTTCACGCAAAGAAAGAAGGCGTAACTTTTATTCTCGCTGTAGTATTGTTGCTGCAGCCATGTCGTGAAGGCGTTGTGTGTTTCGTTGTGAAAGCAAAACTACTTTGTTTGGCCTTCCAAAAGAGGATGATATCCACTTCATCATGCCTAGAGCTGATCCGTGCTGGTCGCTGAGGAAATACATCAACTTCGCGCTGTGGATCGCCGGATCGGCTTTCACCGTGGACGAAGCGGAGTCCAGCCGGGGTCGTCACATGTGGTTGCCGCAAGCCCACCGGTCGCTCCTTTGTCGAATCCGCCAGCCGTTCCTCACTCTAGCCGGCGGCCGCCGCTCACTCAAGCCTGCCGTGTGTGACGCTGTGTTTCGTTGTGAAAGCAAAACTACTTTGTTTGGCCTTCCAAAAGAGGACACGACTAGAAATCAGTGGTTAAGTTGTATTTACAACACTGTTCCAGAACAGTTCAACCCAAATATTCAATTGTGTGCAGCACATTTTATGGAGGACTGTTTCCTGATCCTGGGAGAGTAGACTACAATGCGGCTGTTCTGACTCACAGACTGTAAGTACGTTTTCATTTAAAGGATTTGCCACTGATGATTCAAACGTGAGTTTTGAGCAGTGTAGAGTAGCGCTTGTTTGTCATTTCTCCGATCACAAATGCAGGCATGGTTTTATGTTTACGTGGCGCGATGCAACGTAACGCATAAAAAGACAGTATAAGTCATTATAATCCGTAATTATGCCCCCACTGGATGCAACAAATGCCTCGTTTGTAATGGGTTTTAATGTTTATGTCTCATCGCTCCGGCCCAACAGGGCATCACAGTATGGTAAGGGGAGTAACATTTCCGTCACACACTTGAGGTATTCGGCCAATCACAACGCACTGGATAGCTGGCCAATCAGAGCACACCTCGCTTTTCAGACCAATGAGCTTTGTAAAAATCTACGCGTTTCAGAAAGGCGGGGCATAGAGGAGAAATAATAATGTACAGTATGTGGAAAATAATGTGTCTTTTAAACCTTAAACCACATAAACATTTCATTACACTAAATATACCAAATAATGTTCTTTTTAGCGACATCATATGACCCCTTTAAGTTTTTAGACCCTGGATGATGGACAATGCCCACTGGGCCTGGCAATGGTTAATCCATTGAGAATCCCTGAGATATTTGAGTTTGCAATGATTGATGATAACTTGGAACGGCTGGCTTGAACCCTCAAGAGGAAATCATTCCTCTTGTATTCCTTGAATTCAATGTCAGCTGATTTGGATTAAATAATTTGCCAATTGTGTAAATGTATGCCATTGTTGCACTTTGTATCCTGACCTGAGCCAGCACTACAGATTCCAGTAATTATTAACTTCTTTCCCTGATTTAACTGTGTAATTGACAGCACAAACATAGACCAAAAAAAAGAGAGAAAGACAGTAATGCTTTATTAATCAGAGTGTTTTATTGTATGAAATGGTATAAAATTGTCATTTGTCTCTCATAAACCTATTTGGCCTGAAATAATGTGCTTATGATTTGTTGTGCCCTTATATGGATAATAGATGAAATCGCGCAGTTTGGACCTGGATCAGCCCTTTCATGACCTCTTATATATAGTTCTTCTGGTTTACCAGGGAATTGTTTCTCCAGTGTAGTCCAAGAATCCACCGTGCTGCTTCTCAGTAAGGCTGCCAATGACACGCAGCATCCCCTCCACACTTTCTTTTGGCTCAAGTGGTGCCTAGTGAAAATAAAAACATAGTTCACTAACATTAATCCATCTATTCATTTTCCAAATTGCTTGCCCTGTGTAGACTTTTTGCTGGAGCATATCCCGACCACTCATGGCTTCAGTACATTGCAGGGCTAAAGGCCTGTTCACACAAACACATTTTTGACATCAAAATCCAGTCCAATTTTTGCATTATCAAGAACACTGATCAAGAAAAAAAAAAAAAACTGGATTGGCATTGGTATCGACAGATGATCAAAGTTGCAGAATTGACATGGCTGTTGTAGTGGAGAGAAAACTTTCTGTGAGCTTAAATTCAGCAACTTATTGTACTGTTTGTTCCTCAAAGCTATCAAATATCTTCAGAAGACCTGGAATATAATGCATAAAAAAATTTAATTAAGTATTAACACTAAAACTATATGCCATATTTCTAGAGAGAAGAGTGCCACCACTCCAAGAGGGATGAAGACCATCTCTTTTCAACAGGTCAGGTCTGCCCCAAAAACGACAAATTGTCTATGAAACCTATATTGCTCTGCGGGCACCACTTAAACATCCAGCCATTCAGTGACGGCAGTCTGCTATGTATCCCATCACCACAGTAAGTGGGCAGGGGGGCAAAGCGTATTACAGTGTCTAACATCGTATTTGTAAGTTCACACACCCATTTAATGTTATTTTTAGTGATCTCCTACTGACGAAGACAGACATCATTAGTGCCGACATGGATAACAATCTTACTGAATTTACGCATAGCTTTAGCCAGCCTTTTTTTAATTTGCCAAGATGACATGATTTCGTGCATCAACTAGTTCAGACGAGCCCCCTCTCCTCAACTCCAACATTCATGCATGTGAGCTGCAGCTGTACAACTCCATTCAGCACTGCATAAGTGACATTTTTGGAATAAGATAAGGTGATGATGTCATGATCAACTGTAGGTACTTGTTGAATAAAGTTAAAATAGTGCATCATTCAGATTTGGCTTCAGTTATCATGAAAGAATAAAAGAGCACCGGCAAGGGGAAAAATAGCATTAGCCAATTTGATAGTTAGTCGGTTGTTGTTTTTTTGACACTTGTCAAATGTGTTTAAAACATTAGTGTACGTTAGGGCTGGGTGATATGACAATGCATATGGTTATGATGATATAAAGAGTGAATCGATTTAACTTTTTCTAAATCGCTTACGTAAATAGGCCTATTGGGGTAAGAAAATATATCTGTGCAGCTTTTATTGGGCAGGAATTATTGGAACACTGGAGTGGAAAAAGAAGCATAAACGAATGAGTAATAAAGTGTGATGTGCTTGGTGCATTCGCACTTATTATAAGTGCAGTATACCGCGAAAGGAAATTCAAATATATCGAAATCCAACATTTTTCGTTACAAATCCTCATTTTGTACTTCGAATTCGTGACCAGTGTTTTGTTTTGCTCTCTCCCATATGCTTCTGCCTTTTGTCACTTTTCACCGGAGCTTGCATTACACCTACAGTCAGGTCCATATTTGGACACAGGCACAATTTTTATTATTTTAGGCACTGGCCAAAACATATTCAAGTTACAGTTATATAATGAATATGGGCTTAAAGTGCACACTCTGAGCTTTAATTTGAGGATATTCTCATCAAAATTGGAGGAAAG